GCCCGAAGACATGGAATGCAGGACATCCTTGAAGCACGTATGACGAATCAACGGTGTTGCCCTCTTGGGGCCATCTTGGGGGCCGTTTTGGTGCCCTCTTGGGGCGTTTTGGAGCTCTCTTGGGACTTGACGCCATCTTGGCCGTCTTCGATCGCTCTTGAGCCATCTTGGGCCTTCTTGGCCCGTCTTGGAGGCCTCCTGAGACGCCTTGGAACAATCTCCAGGCCCTCTTGGAGGGCCCCAGGGGGAAAAGGGGGGGCCCGATGTCTAAGAGGTGGGCGTGCCCCTGGGGTGGGGGGGCAGATTCGTTTGTATTACATCTGCTGGGAATTTGGGACTTCTGCGGGCGCGCACTTACTCATCAATCTCATCAGCACAGTCGTCATCATCACCACCAGTGTCAGAAATGCCACTGTCATCGTGCCATCATCTTCAGCATCCTCATCCTCCTCCTGCCCCTGCTCCTGCTCCTGCTCCTGCTCTTGATCCTGCTCCTCCTCCTCCTCCTCCACATCTTGTGATTGTTCTTAGTATTCTTCTTCTCAATCATCATCATCATCGTCATCATCATCAACAACAACATCAACAACATCATCAACATCATATACCATCATCAGCAACACCACCACCCATCATCATCATAATCATCATCAGCAGCAACATCATCACCATCATCATAATAAGCAGCCGTCATCATCATCATCATCATCATCATCATCATCAGCAACATCATCATCATCATCATCATCACCACCACCACCATCACCATCACCATCACCATTACCATCACCACCACCACCGTCACAATCATCACCTTCGACATCAACACAACCTCCATCATCATCGTTGATGTCGTCGCCCTCGTCAACTTTCTGCGCGTGTGCACTTCCTCCTCATTATCACCAGCACCATGGTCATCATCGTCATCAGCGTCATCGTTGCCACCGTCAATATGATCACCATCAACTTCGTCACCATTACTTACCATCATCATCGACGTCGTTCCCACCGTCATGAAGATCATGATCGTCGTTGTCGCCGTTGCCGTCGGCGTCGCCACCATCGTCATCGCAATTTCGTGTCCGGCAGGACGGATTGTCTGCGCGGTTGAGTTCCACGCGCTCGTGAGCTATCTGAGAGCATGTCTTCATGAGGCTTGCCAACAAATTGCGGGTGGGCGGATGGGATGTTTGCACGAACACGGGAGTTGGTCGTGCGCGGTATGTCGAGCGGGGGGGTGGATTGCTCCACGCAGACACACAATCCTCATGTATGTTTGACATGTGCTACGCTTTCCACGTCGGTTCAAATCTCCCAAAAGTGCCCGCTGAGAGACCCCAGAAGGGTTCCAGACGGCCCAGGACGGCCCCACGAGAACTCCAAGCTGGCCCAAGAGGGCCTCCAAGACTGCATAAGAGGGCCCCAAAGCGGCCGAAGACGGGCCCAAGACGGCCCCAAGAGATCCCCGAGACGGTCAAGAATGCTCCAAGACGGCCCAAGATCTCAGACCGCCCCAAGGCGGCCCAACCCCAAGACGGCCAAAGGAGGGCGAGGGACCAGCAGGACTGCCCCACGGGCGCCCCAGACGGCCACAAGACGGCCACACGGGAAGCCTCGCGAGAGCTCCTCGAGTCGTGGAAGTCGAGCGGCGCCACACGCGACGGCCCTCGTGGCCGCGACCGAGGGGTCGCCACACGGAGTGATTCGATGGCACGGCGGCGGACCTGCCGCAGGCGGCCAGATAGTCGCTGGAAGTGCAGGCGCCGTCCGCCGTGCACTCCTCCATGCTGAGCTTCGGGTGGTCCTCCTTCGGGCTCACGTCGCCCTTCATCTGGGCCCGAGCCGCCACCAGCGCGGTGGCAACGAGAACGGCCTGGACCATGCGGCCTGCCATCGCTGCGCGGCCTGAGTCCTCGCTGAGCTCCCTGGACGAACATCGCTTAACAGATCCCCGTCCCCACTGGCATGGCATTGGCCCCACTGGCCGACTTAACCCGCTCGATGGGAATATATGCTGTTCCCTTCGGGTTTCGCGAGGCCTATCCCAACCTGATGGGGGATGGTGGGGCTCAGATACCACGGTCCACTGGGGATGGGGATCGGTTAGACGATGCTGACTGGATTAGGTCGGACACCAGGAGCCAAACACCACCCCTTGCACGGGTCTATCCCGGGCCCCTGACTGGTGTGGAGCAGGGCATGTGCACCACTGCAGGGCCCAAGGTGGACCTGGCCAGGGCTGGTGGTATACAGCTGGCGGTTTCCGAATCACTTGGGACGGCAGTCCGATTTAACCCCAATGCCTTGAGCCAAAATGGCTGCGGGGGGGTCGGTCGGACACGTTCCCGCAACACGGGCGGAGGCAGGTCAGCTCATCGTGACCGACGACCGTAGACCTGCTTGCCTGGACAGGTATCTCGTCGAGAGCGCCACGGCCCCCCTCCCCTAGATAGATGGCAGAAGAACCACCCGCATGAAAAGCACCACTGCAAGCGCAGCCTTTGCCAAGACACCTGAAGAAGGATCGCGAAGGATCGAACAGGGCCAGATTGCTCAGCAAATGCACAGGGGTCGGGGTGGCTCTTCCTCTCCTGACTGGGCCCTTCTCCCCCAGTCCTGGCATCGTGGGAGGGGGAGTGGGAGACGCCAGCTCCCCAGAGGTTCCAAGGTGATTCAAATCCTTTCTCCGACCTCCATTCTGGACGCTGAGTAGTGGCCTTGCCTTTTCCCCAGGGACGATCACTACCAATCGAAGTCACCTCGATGGGTTCTGGTCCCGGCCGCGGCCAACTCCACCTGCCTTAGGCGGAGTTGGCCGCGGCCGCCTACCAGTCCACCGGAACGCAAACGCTCTCGAGGATACCAACTAGACCAAACACCCTCGAGTCTACGGTCAGGAACTTGGCCGTGCCTCTCTGGCTCTGCTCTTGCCGTGGTGCTCCCTCCCCCCCGCCCTGCCTCCCCCCCCTCTCCCTCCCTCGCTCCCCCCCCTCTGTCATTTCCACAAATCCACAACATGAGAACCACTCCCTCTCCTCCCCTGGAGTTGTCCGGAAGTTCTCCCGCCACCTCCGCGTGCCGAGTTCTGGCACACAGGATTTCAAACGTTGATTATTCTTGTTTTTGGCAATCAAACTGCTTCCTGTGTGTCAACCTCCCCGTCATCAATTCCCCTCCTCCGCCTTCCCCTGGTCCTCCTGTTCCCCCCGCTCCTTCCGCTCCAGTTCCTGCTGTTGCTGTTCGTCTCGCCCCAGCGCAGGCCACTTTTCAGAATCCGAATTGTTTTTCATCGTTGTCGCCCCCCTCATTTCCCCTCATCTCCCTTTCCCTGGTCCTCCTTTCCTTCCCGATCCTTCCGCTTTAGTTGCTGCTACTGTTCCTCCTCATCCTATTCCTCCCGCTCATCCTCCTGCTCACCCACCACCTCCTCCTCCTGTGCACGCAGCTCCTCTTTTCTCCGATTGAGCATAACACGAGTCGCAGGTCGGCTATGACACGCGTCCGCGGATAGAGAAACGTCAGCGCCATGGGAAGGGATGGGAGGGAGGAATAGGATGTCAGATGAGGCGCGAGCGCACCTATCTTGCACTTCTCCCCCCCTCCCTCCGTTCTCGTCCCTTTCCCCATTCCTCCCTCGCTCCCTCCTCTCCCCCCTCCCCTTAAGAAATTATTTACTCCATGTAGATACAAATATCCTCTCTTCCCCGATTGCGTGCTGAAAATGTCCCTGCTTTTACACACAGGGTTTCAACCTGTTTGTCATGTGTCTTTTCAATCGGAACCTCGCTGGTGTTACATACAATAAAGGTGTTGTCGCTGCAACGTTGGCCTCATTTTAGGATCGGCTCTTTGCTCACGTCCTTCAGATTCGCGCTCTCGCCCAAGCGTGGGCCACTTTTCTGGATCCGTGTCCTTCCTCGTCGTTGTCGGTCCGCTCCGTTCCTCTCCTCCACCTTCGCATGGTCCCCCTGCTCCTCCCGCCTCTCCCACTCCCTGCTGCTGTTCCTCCTCGTCGTCGTCGTCGTCGTCGTCCTCCTCCTCCTCCTCATCCTCCGCCTAGTCGTCCTCCTCCTCCTCCTCATCATCCTCATCATCATCGTCATCATCATCAGCATCGACAGCATCATCATCATCATCATCATCATCATCATCATCATCATCGTCATCATCATCATCATCATCATCATCATCATCATCATCATCATCATCATCATCATCATCATCATCATCATCATCATCATCATCATCATCACCATGATCATGATCATCATCATCATCATCATCATCATCATCACCATCATCATCACCATCATCACCATCACCATCACCATCACCACCACCAGCACCAGCACCAGCACCAGCATCAGTATCATCATCATCATCAGCATCAGCATCAGCGTCATCATCATCATCATCATCATCATCATCATCATCATCATCATCATCATCATTCATCATCAAATTCATCCTCATCCTCATCATCACCATCATCATAATCATCGTCGTCGTTATCACTATTACCATCATTATCATCATCATCATCATCATCATCATCATCATCATCATCATCATCATCATCATCATGATCATCATCATCATCATCACCAGCAGCATCATCATCATCATCGTCATCATCATCATCAGCGGCATCATCATCATGAGCAGCATCGTCATCATCAGCAGCATCATCGACATCGTCATCATCATCACCACCACCACCCTCCTCTTCGTCCTCCTCTTCCTCCTCCTCCTCCTCCTCCTCCTCCTCCACCCCGCTCCCGAAACAGGTCGGTAAGGCGGGCTGGGCATTTCGCCAGAGACTTCCTCACTAGTTATTTTCCTTAATATTGGAATTTGCAACAGCTCCACGGATGGAGGGTGAATTGTTTTCAAAATGTGGCTCTCGCCCTAGCGCAACGCCCATTCGTCTTGAAGCTTTGCAGCAGCAACAGCTTCACGATGGAGGGCAGGTCGTTTAAAACATGTGGTTCTCGCCTTGG